TTTTACATTAAAATTCTAGGATCCCTTTTGGGGTAATAGAATTGTTCTTTATTTTGATTGTGGTCGTGGTTACATGGGTGTATATATTTGTTGAACTGTATACTTAAAATGTACATAGTTTGTAAGTGCGTGCAGTGTATTGTACATAAATTATACCTTAATGAAATAATTATTATTTAATTATTATACCTTAATAAAACTGATTAGAAAAAATTGTAGGTTCCCAGTTTCTTTCTTTCTTTTTTTTTTTTTTTTCATGTCCAAATAACTTTATTTTTAAGGAAATTAGTCTCAATAAGTTCAGTTCTTTGCAATGAGTAATTCTGGAATGAAGACAGCAATTTTAGTTACCAAAAATGTGAAAAATAAAACTTCCTCCAAACCAACATATTAAGAAACAAAACCAAAATGTTTGCTAGTTTTAGCTCTTCAATACTTAAGATCCACAGGAGTAGGGATAATATTTTTTTTCGTCTCTAACACAATGTGGATTACAATAGTGAGAAGTAGCTGTGTTGGCCATTAATAAATTTGCCTTAAAAAATGCTTACATAATGTAATATCATCTTTTAACTGTTCCTATAAACAATGGCAGTAGTTCCTCTTTGTGTACTGACATTACTTACATAAGGTGTGACATTAAAGGTATAATTGGTTGTGAGAAATATGATTCCAATAAATCAACAGTTACAAGATTTTCAAAGAAATAATTTAGTCATCGTATTAGGGTCAAAACCTCAACACTTTTGGAAAAGTAATTTGCAATTGTAATAAATTTGAGTTTATTCCTATTACTTCTTTGGGAAACACAAAAAATATAGTTGCTTGTGTCGTTATTAAGAAATCTTTTGTTTGGGCAATTTTCTTTTAAAATATTCCAGGCTGCAGTGTATCATTTTAGTTTTCATGGCTGCTTTTATGGTAAGCGTTTCTGCTAAAATACTTTATCAAGTGGAAATGCTATTAAATTTCAACACTAAGTGAAAGTAAGCATACTTTTAAACAAAATAAAAGCTCTGCAGATTTAGTTACTTTTTTTAAGCAAATGTCTAACTTTTGAAATTAGAGCCTCTTACTAAGAAAGCATGCATGAAAAAGGCTTTTTTCTCTTTGAAATTATTTATTTTCTTTAATCACAAAATCCTTACCAAATTATGTATTACCTATAAACCTGAGCAAAAAGATAAACTAATTTAATATTTTAAGAGAGCATGTCATCCAAAATTATACAGAAATATTGTAAATTTCCCAGAATACACAATTTAAGGAATTGTTCCAGTTCAGTATTTTTAAAAGTTACATTTCCTTTATGGATCTCTATAGAGAACTAAAGATACATAACTATAAAATATTGGTTTTTTGGTCACAAGTGATTTTATGCTTATGGGGAGAGAAAAACGTATGAAGTTATGAACTAGGCAAACAAATACTCATCGTTGTTAGCTCAATGTCAGCAGAAAGCATTCAATAAATATCTTTTGAATGAACAAGTGATTTTTGATGACAAAATATATTAATTATTGTGATTACATTTAAAGTTGATTTTGTGAAAACATAAGCGGTTTCTCTTAAAAAAAATCTGAAGATCTGGCAACTCTGGGCTCAAATGGCTAAATTCAACTGGGGCAGTTCCCTCTAACTGGGGCACTATAGTCCTCACTTCTCCTGAATGTTCCCTTGACCCAAGGCTCGGGGTTGGTTCCTTGTGTTTTTCCTACTCTGTCTCCACTTCTCTCAATCCGATTACCTGCTCATCCTGTTGGGACTCCAGGACACCAAGCTTTGCCCTCTTGATGGTAAGAAACAGCACACGGAGAATGCATAGGTTGGTGCCTGGCATGTGGTAGGCACAAGAAAAGCTGGTATTTGCTGTTATGATTATCACCAGCGTCATCAATGTGGCCCAGACCCCCTGCTCAGCAGACAGCTCTCCCTTATCCTTTTTCTGTCATCTCTACAGTTGGGTGAACTAGAGGGATGATCACAGACCTCCTCCTGTTTCACTCCACCAGTAGAAAGGGACACGTACAGACTGTCCTTTGGCAGACCTTATTAGGCTCAAACTGTCCTCTTCCTCCCTCTGTCTTTAGTGTAGACAGACACACACATGCACATGCACACACACCCTACACAACCCACACACCCCACACATAGCTAGGTTCTGTCTTCAGGTCTAACCTTCTGGTCCCTGCCTTGTCCGTGCATCCAGAAGAAGTAAAAGAGACCTCGAACACCATTCTCGAGGACTGATGCATCTGAACGGCTTGACCATGCTTTAGGCCACCCCTGGCTGAGCCTGAACCTGTCTATCATGAGAGAGCGCCTGGCTTCTAGAAATAATATAATTCATTGATGCAACTAAATGAAGTGCCATTGGGCACTTTGGAAGATCCAAGGAGAACCTTCATGAAGTTCTGGCAGAATTTTCAAATTTAACAGCCAGTGTCAGGGATTTAATTCAATTCCGCAGATGAATACTATTTCCCCAGTCTCTTAGGAAACATAAAGAGGGTCTCCAGAAAGTCTCCATACTGCACAGTTCTCAGTACTGACAATGTGTTAAGTAGCTGTAGCTGTGTCTCAGTTCACTGTCCATTCCCTGAGCACCTCTTGCAAGACCAGTCCTGGCCTCATTACATGGACAGAAGTAGAGGCTTCATGTCATGGGCCAATAAGCAGCTGAAAGCCTGATTGGGAGACTGGACCCAATTCTGTAATAGTTACTGATATGCGTATTAAACTCAAGGACCAGAACCGAGATCAAGTGTCAGAGGAGCAGTACAGACAAGAAATGTTGCAAGAACTCAGAAAAGAGAAAGTTCTATGACTTCCCCCTATCCACAAATGCCTAAATATTTTCAGTATATATGATAGCTAATTTCATTAATATATGAAGAGCTCTTACAAATCAATAAGAAAAAGGCAAAAAAGCAAAACAGAAAAGAGGGAAAGGACATGAGCTGGCAGTTCACGGAAAATACAAAAGGTTTTAAACCTATTAATGATATTCAATCTTCTAGTAAAAGAAATATAAATTAAAAGCACAATATATCATTCTACCTACTTTTGGTTATGTTTGAAATTTTCCATAATAAAAAGTTTAGTTTTTTTATGGATTAACAAGAAGAGTTAGCTTTAAGAGACACTTAGGCAATTGCCTTATTTGGATCTGAGTCAACTAAACAAACTGTAAAAAGTTTTAAGGGGCCGGCCCGGTGGCGCGCTGCAGAGTGCGCAGCTTGGGAGCGCGGCGGCGCTCCCGTGGAGGGTTCGGATCCCATGTGGAGACCAGTTCCCGCTCACTGGCTGAGCGCGGTGCAGGCGCAACACCGAGGGTTGCGATCCCGTTACCAGTCAGTAAAAAAGACAAAAAGGGAAAAAAAAAAAACTTTTAAGGATGAGACAATTAGGGAAATTTGAACACTAACTTTGGTAATATTAAAAACTTACTATTCATTTTTTAAGTATGGTAATGATATCATGATTATGTTTTTAAAAAGAGCCCTTATCTTTTGGATACAAGTGCTGAAACATTTATGGAAGAAATGATCCAATGTCTCAGATTTGTTTCAAAATAATCTGGAGAGGGGCAGGTGGGTGAGGAACAGATGAATTGACCTTGGCCTCCAGAGATGGGCTCCTGGGGTTCATTATATTAATCTCTATATAAATATTTGAAATTTTTCATACTAATATGTTTAAAAAAACACATGCACAATAAGATCTCATTTTTCATTCACTAGACAGGCAAAGAATCAAACAGTTGAATAATATGCTTTGTTAGCCAAAGTGGAGGCAAAATTGGAATAACTCCTTTGAAGGTTGGTCGGGCTTTATCTATACAAATTTACCCTTTGGCTTAGCATTTCCATTTCTACCACTAAGGTTGTATCAAACAGATAAACTCGCACTTGTGTTCAAAGACATACATCTGTGGATATTCACTGCATCATTATTTATACTAGCTAAAAGTGAGGAACAATATAAAGAAACAATGCCACAGACTGGTTAACAAGTTAAGACACATCCCCCCATATAGAGTACTCCACAAAATTAAGAAACAAGAACAAGGAAGCTTTCTAGGTACAAATCTCAAACAATGCTTGAACTATATTAAGCGGGGGAAAAAAAAAATCAAGTCCAGAACAACGTGAATCATATTTGAGTTAAAACAAAACAAAACAAAGAGGATGGTGTGTACCAATGTGCTTGTGGCTGCACAGCCTACATCTGGAAGGATTCAAAGGAAACTGGTGTCTATGATTGTTTGTGGGGCAGGGGGTTGTTCTGGGAACTGGGAGATGGAACAGCAGCAGGGAGATGTAGGCTCTTTATACTACCTGAATGTTTCTTTTTTATCATGTGCATATTAAATTAATTTTCTTTTTGATTAGATTTGTTTTATTTGGTTAATTAGATTAACTTTCCTTTTTAAAGCTGGGTTCTAAGTGACAAGAGCAGAAGGTCACGTCTTCCTGAGACCAACCTCGGTGGAGGAGGTGGGGCGCACAGTGCAGACAGCAGGGAGCTGGGGTGGTGGGCTCTGGGAGAAGTTGCGGGGCAGGGAGAGGCAGGATCAGCAGGGTGAGGTCTGGCCTGGCTGCAGGGGAGAAAAGCACAAGCCTGTCTTCCTGTGTCAGCCTCAGTAGCTGACACAGAGCCCAGTACAACCCCCTTTAAACCCCAACTCATCTGTTGCCAGAGGTTGGTGGGTAACTGCAGGGATCTGAAATGGTGGCTTCAGGCTGAGTGTTGCTAAGTGGCTGACCCTTAGCTGTTCCCAAATAGGGTGTCCCTCTACACACCTCGCCTTCCCCCCACCCCTCTCCAGCAGCTGAGCTTCCATTAGCCAGCAGGTTTGGTTATGCAATGCTTGGGAACAGCCGCTTCCAGAAATGCCACCCTCCACCCCCAGGCTCCGGCTCCTGCCTGTTGTGCCCCCTGGGTCACTGTCAACACTCATCTCCCCACAGGCAGCTGCACCCTCCACCCACTCTGGGGCAAAGCACAAGGTTGGGGACAGGAAGTAGGGGTTAAGTTTCTGAGCAGGAGCCCTGTCAGGGCAAACTGACTGCTCCCCATTTGTCTCCCACCCCAGGTATGAAGGAGTTGAAAGGAACCCCAAGGGGAAGAGAAGTCACAGGGATGTCAAAGAAGCTTAATGGTCTTCCTCTCCCTAATCACAGTGTGCCCCACTTCTAGGTTCCCTGCAGCTGTCCTGGCCAGGGCACTGCCCCTGCCTTTCCCTGGAGAGAGTGGCAGTCAGTGTCCTGTCTGTAAGCCCACCTGTAAGCTTCCATCTCTCCTCTTCCCCATCAACAGGTCACAGAGAAGGCACAAGAAGGGAATAACATCTCTCCAGCTCTCCTAAGACTAGCCACCTGGCCAGTCTCCCCACCAGGGCCCCTGGGCCTGCGCTCCCCTCCAGCCAGGGCAGGGAAGCAGGAACCAACCTCCTCGGGGCCATCAGCCAGGCTGCCTTTCCTCCAGGGGACACTCCCTTGCATGATGAAATCCACCACCTTCGAGTTCTGAAATGCAGCCCCCACCAAAGTGATGGCCCTGTCCACAGCTACCACCATCCTGAAGAGGGCTTCAAGTCTGGCACCGTGCTGGGCGGCATCCTGCCGCACGGCCCTTACCAGCTCCAGGACCTCGGGCCACCCAGCATGGGTGTCAGCTGGAGGAGCACTGTCGGCCCCAGCTGGGCCCTGCGCTCGGGAGGCCTCCAGCCGGTGCAGGCCTTGCTGCAGGTGGCCCATGCCTCGGCACACGCACTGCAGCTTCTCTGTGATGTCTTCTTGGAAATGCAAGAGTTTGTCAACCTTCTCATTCAGCACGTTAAGCTTCTTGTCCATGGTGGTTAAGCAGGCCTTGCTCAACACCGGCAGCCCCCGGGGCCCCAGACTCTCCTTGGAGGTGCCTGACATCCTGAAGGAGGCTTGGCAAGGACCAGGGCAAGGAAATGGAAGGGCCACAGACCTTGATTTTCACTTAGTCGGTAGTGTCTGGAAGTTCATTGTCCTCGGGAGCTCAGGCCTCGCTCTGTAGCACCAACCCACCCAGACTGCCTGTGCTATTTGGTAGACAGAAGACCAGGTTCTCTCTGTTTATCTCCCACTCTGCCAGGCGCTGTGAGTGACAGGCTTAGTTTGGCCCAGGCCCTTCTCCCCGGGGCCCCTTTGACATCATGGCAGCATTTAACATTCCTCCCTGAGAGGCTGTTGATGGGCAAATATTTTAAGAATCTGCCCAGGACAGGCAGGGGTTCATGTAGCTGAAGCTAAAGGTTAGAAGAAAAGGATCCTTTAAGTAACATGCCTGTCAGCTGGACTATCCGAGGGACATTAGGGATCCCTTAGGGATCCCAGGGAAGAGTAAGACCTTCAGAGGACCAAAGCATTGATGAGATGGGGCTCCACCGGTCACACACACATCTAATTCACAATGAAAAGCAAGACCAAAACAGAAAGAAATGTGAGACCATGCAACAAAGTTCTGACTTTTGCTATGATGAAAATTTTGAGGCTTCTACATATTATAAACATATTTTTGATGCCCCTACTTTGCCGATGCCCAAAACATGTTTAAACTGCCTGTGTGGTGAGTCTGCAGGTCCCTCCCCACACGGGGCTCTCAGCCACTAGTCACTTGTACCTAAAAATAGAACTCAGGGACAATGGCCTAGGCTACTCGCCAGGCACCATCCCTCAAGTCGTGATCCTTGCAGAACCTTCTGGGGGATATTTACCAGCGACCCCCTACTCCCCCAATAATGATTATATGGGTATCAGGCACCCAGTTTCTAAACTGAAACAGACTCAGCAGGGCCCTAGAGAGCAACGGGGCTTGTGTGTCCTGTGGTTTCCAATGTCTTAGCGTCAGAAACCCTTGGTTCTAATGAAACTTTTTACAGAAGCATCAATAAAAAAAGAAGACACAGCAGAGATACTCAGGTTGTCGCTGAGTGGCACAAGGGGGCACCTCAGAGTCCCCAGGGCACCACAGAACAGTTTGACTTAACCATTTTCATCCAGCCCCTCATTGGGAGAAAGCAAGGCTCAGGAGGGAAACGTATCCAAGGTGGCCCAGGCACATGGCCTCACAAGGATGGTTCAGCCACGGTCAGAGCTGGCACCAAGGCAGGGGGGTGGAGAGTGTCCCCCTAAGTTTCCCCCTTCTGAATAAAAGCAATTATGATCAACTCTAAGCTGGAAATTTTACATCTAAAAGCACTGTTAGATGGTTTTGTTACTTTAAGCCTTAAGTAACCTATCAATACGACATGCTTGCTATGCAAATACAGCCCGACCACAGCCCCCTCTACTCATCCCTGTATCCAGATAGCTGCCCCTAAGCATCCCACATAGAAACCCAAACCCACTCCTGGGAGCACAGTCCAGTGTGTCGTTGCTGGAATGTCCCAGAACATGCTCAAAAGAGCACCAGTCTTTTATATTCACTGTGATTTAAAACAAACACACAAATAAACAAAGTGTCTTTGGAAAAGCAATCTGGGGGACACTGTGCTCCAGCCCCTCGTGGGGATTCACTGTGCACTTCAGGGAGACTTCATCTGCCACAGAAAAGAAACCTGTATCTGATCAGGGAATCACTCTTTCCCCAGCACTTCACACTTAACACTTACTTCCCTGGGGAACCAGGATTCCTTGCATCAAATTTTGGGAAATGGCTGCCTAGAGAAATCTCCCAGGGTGGAGATGTTAGTGTGGTGTTGTTAACACCAAGGTCAAGAACTCGGGTCCCTGTGCCAGCCAGCCGCCCCCCCCAAAAAAAAAGAGAGAGAGAGAAATCTCTGAAAGTCTGACGCCCAGCCCAATGCCTCTCTCCCAGTTGGTGGGGATAATTTTGTGAAATAAGTTCCCACCAGTCAACAGAGACAGACCCCAGGAGAGTCTGGGTGAGAATTTCTACCAGGACGTCTCACAGGTCACTTCATTATTACTGCTGCTATGGAGATCTTGGGAGCAATCAGCATCCAGGCAAGTCCTGGAAAGATAACAAAACCTGGAAAGATATCTTGAAAGTCCAAATGAACCCAAAGGAAATAAACAAATGCCCCACACACATATTTACATCAAAATCTAATTATTTATTTACAAAACGACTTCCCCAGGTCTCCCATAGCAACAAGTTTGCAAGGCAGCTCATTTACTAGCAACGTGGCTGCTGCATCCACTGTTCAGAGCCACCTTGAAGCCCCCTGAGGACAGAACCCAGATGTGTCAATGTGCCTGGCATGTGGTAGGTGGTCAGTACAACTGGATCAAAGGAATGAGCTAAGGAGGCTACAGCAGGAAGCATGAGGCTGAGCTGATCATCCAGAGACTTCTGTGGAAGGAGGCAGGAGATGGGCTTTCCCAGAACAGTCCAAATAAGTACTGGGCAGGAAACCCCGGCAATTCCCAGAAGTAAGCTCTGGGGTCCTCTAGGAGAAAGCTCAGAACACACCGACAGAAGTTCTTGAGGCTTCTTTGATGAAAAGGAGTAACCAAGAGGACCAGCTCTGAATCTCATTTCTTAGTCAGCATGTGGGTTCCTTGAGGGCTGATGTGTGGCTTCCCTACACTATCCCTGATGTACAGGGCACAGCAAGTAGCGTGGGCATTCTTTTTGGACAACGGTGCCCAGAGGACAGGGGAAGCATTGCGCCCCCAAGCCAAGAGAAGGAAGAGCAGAGAAGAGGTGCTTGTACTGGATTGACACAGAGTAGCAAGTCCAATGACACCTTGTCTTTCCCAGGTGAGGACAGGGCAACTGATCAATCCACTCCTGGAGAAAGACAGGCTGACCTCTGTTTGCCCTAGGGTGGGGTTAGTGTGCACTGAACCCCAAGGCTCTTCCCTGATCTTCTGATGACCTAACGGTCTCGGGCTCAGGGGGTGAGAAAGATTGCAACATCCTCATTTTAAAATGATATCAAGACTCATTATCACCTTGAATATTCCTTACTACATTGTGTGTTACATTCCTAAGAAACAAAACAACAACAATAAAAACTAGCCCTGGCTGGTATAGTAAAGTTACCATCTCATAAATATATCACTTTTCAATCTCAGCTGTTGCTACTGAGAAATTGTTGATTGTCTATATGTGCAATCTGTGTATACATATGAAGCAGAACACTTACATGAGTTGTTTAAATATTTTCAAATAAATAACTCCCTAAGCACTGGTAGCACTGAGGCCGCTGGTTCGGATCCTATATGGAGATGGCCGGTGTGCTCACTGACTGAGCGTGGTGTGGACCACAGCGTGCTGAGGGTTACAATCCCCTTACCAGCCAAAAAAAAAAAAAAACTCCCTAACACCTTTATTTAAAAAAAATAAAAAATGATATGAAGACTCTAACTCAAGCTGACTTACCTCCCGTATTTATCTTCTTCCCCTTCAGAGACCTGATTAAAGCGATAATCAAGGAAGAAAACAAATATACAGCCTCAATGACAAAGAGAATGGAAGAGGAGCCATTGGTGAATGCGTGTTATCAGTGAACTTCTGGAAGATGGAAAGCTGTTGGAGGAGAGATAACTGGAGAAATAAGAAAGAGAAAACCACAGCCTAACTAGGCAAAAAGGCAAATACAGACAAGCATAGAGCCAGCTTTTCCCGTAGAAGCCTAGAGAAGCCTGTGGACCCTGAGACCCCATAGGGAGCAGAAATGCCAGACTGGGGAGTCCATTTCCAAACAGTGGCTCTCCCCCTTCCACACCTCTGCGTAGAAGGAGCAGGCCAGGAGAGCCGCCACCCTCCCTGGAGATCAGAGTCTGTTTCTGGAGAAACTCAATGGTCCATGCTACAATAGCTCAATGTACTGGCGTTGGGGGGGGCAGGGAGGGTCCTTGGGAGCTCCCCATGTGATCATCCTCAACAAAGCCAAACAGTCAACAAGCCTCAACCACCTTCCCAGTTTTTATTACCTTGTTCTAAAATATGCACAGACAAAAAAAGATTACCAGATATTCAAAGAAAGCCCCCAAGATAAAAGGCAACACCAAAACAAACAGAAACATAATTATGGAGGAAAGAGAGAAAATGTGAAACAGAAGAGTTTCAAAAAGGCTATCATTTGTAAACATAGAAAAGTGTGAAAGGCTATTCCATCCATTAAAAAAGAAGAGGATGTTATAAGAAAACAACTTTCAGTTGGTTAGAGTGTGGTGTTAGAAAACCAAGGTCAAGGGTTCGGATCCTCGTACCAGCCACTGCCAAAAAATACGAAAAAGAACAACCATAGAATAAAAGAGAGGTCTTAGAAATTTAAATATGAATACTAAAATTTAAAAATCCAATATAGGGATTAGAAAATAAAGTTAAACTGGCCTTCACATCTTGGGCACAAGGGGTGACAATCAGCTTTGTATCTCATGAGTATTCATAACCAATTAAAAAAAAGAAAGCTCAGATAATATCCTAAAAAATACAACTAAAAGATGAAGACACGTACATAAGGAGAGAAAAGATGTTAAACAACAGATGCAGCTGGTTTTACATTTAATTAACTGGAGTTTTAAGAGGAGAAAAGAAAGAAAGAGGGAAGCTATTTATAACTACAGTCATTATGCAATTTTAGAACACAGGAATAAAGAGATTTTAAAAGCTCCCAAAAATTTAAAAGAAAAATAAAAAGATCACATACCAAGGAACTGGAATCAGAATGACATCAAACTTCTCATCCTAAAAACAACTGGATGCTGGGAGATAGGTTGGATATACAATTCTAGATTGAAAAGCATTTCCCCTTAAAATTTCGAAGACATTGCACCATTGTCAGAAAACAAAACGAAGAGTTTTACGACTTGCAAAGATGCAAAAAAATTATGCACCCCTTCTAAGGAAGCTGCTTTGAGGATATACTCCAGCAAAATGAGGGAGTGAACAAATTAAGAGCTCCAGGAAACAACAGCTT